CCTGCTCCAAATGGATAAGTACAAGAAGCTGTGCTCTCCTCCAGGCTAGGCAGTGCTGTACCAAGGCTCATGCCTGGCCCTGGATTGGATCCCAGGTACAGGCACAGATGATACACTCACAAACTGAAAACTTGACAGCCTGTGCATCCTAGTTTGTTTGAATTTGGGGATATGAAAGGACAATAGAAACATACCCGTTGTTTTAGGCAGTGTTTTAGGGTGCAGCTCCTTAGGGCAAAAGTTCTTAAGGATGAGCCTTAAAGAGAATTAACTAAAAAGACATTTTAAAACTTGGGTGCATGATCTTCAACCCAAGGAATTTCTACTTAGGATGTCTGGGGTAAGGGCTAGACATGTGCATCTTGAAAATGCTCCCTGTGATATGCTGATGCCCAGTCCTGACTGCATTAGTTATTTCCCTGGCCAGCTTACTGAGATCATTTGATATCTCTCTTTCCTTCCTTTCTTGAGTTTACTGGGTTCCTCAATATGCGGTCAGAAACAGCTTTCTGAGACACCCCTTCTTTCTCCTTAGGAACCCACTCTTCAGTAATCCCTCCCTCCTCTGAATTCTTTTAGCACTTGATCTTGCTCATGCAACACCCATCACAATATTCTGTGTAGTAGTTATTTATGAACATGTCTTATCTCCCAACACATAAGCCCCAAAAAGGCTGAGACTCTGCGACACCCAGAGGTCACCCACTGGAGTCCTTGGATTGCTTTCCGCCTGCGTGTGCAGGCTTATTTTACTTGGCTTTGCAGCATGTTTGAAACTTTTCTTGATATTTGCCAGCATTTAAAACTCAGGAGATATTCCCCCTACTCTCCAATTCTCCTCTAAATATAATGACCATTGTGCGATGATGTTTCAGTTAAAATATTTGAAGACCTGTCAACATGGGCCCCACATTCCTGAGATTGCTACTGTTGAGTGGAGCTGAGGAGCGGTTTCCTCTTTCCTCCTGGGGTGGTGTTCTTCAGTTCACAGTAGCCTCCACCACTCTCTGTTGCCTTACTGGGCTGCTGTGTCATTAACTTTTTCCTCCTGGCATTTGTTGGACATTTGAATTTATAACCCCATTAAGTACTTTTGATTTCTACACAGTATCTGGCTTTTTCTAGGGGCTTCATAAATATTTTTCAAATGGCAAAAACCAAAGTTTAAATACTCCAGGGGATGGGTACTTAAGTTCACGGCTTTCTCTAAACTGCCAGATATGAGTTCATACGAATGAAAAATGTCTATTAGATTTTGTATTGTGGCTTTCCTCAGTTAAGAATTATGAGCTAGTTCCTCATTTCAAGAGCTTTATCTAAATCTCTTTACTCCTCAGCTGCCAAGTAGCTAAGCCATCCTCCTCAAGCCGGAGGAAACGATACTAAACTTGGGTATTTCAGTAAGCAGGTTGTCCTTAACCAGTCTCTCTGAATTTTTGTGTCGTAGCTTGTTATTCGTCAAGGCTTTCAAAGTTGGCTTCATGTAACTCTCCACTGGAAAGTCCCTTGGGGAAAAAGTTTTTGTCTGGAAATACTCCTTTCTTTGACTGCCAGGATAATCATCACTCTTTTAGTAGGAGATATAAATAGAAGAGTGCTTTCAGCACTGATTTTTGAAATTTAAACTCATCTCCTCAGTTGTCTAATTAAAATCCCTTAATGTCCTCCATCCCCATATCCTAAAGTCTAGAATGTAAACCAGTCACAAAAATTTTAGGAGACATGTGAGATAGTTTTAAATTTTATTTGTCTTTATATTTTGTGGTTATTTGCTATTAATGATAAATATTACGTTTTTTTTCCCTCTGTATATAGAGTACAGCGATAATATTTCCCTTAGAAATATTTTAAGCATAACATTAAATTTATTGTAAGAAAAATAAGGAAATATTAGACTTGTTAGAACCAAGATAGGGTAGAAGTGGTAAAGTTGCTCCAAGTGTGACACTTGTTTGGAAAACACTGAACTTTAAGGTAAAGTCTCAGGCCCTCCCTTCACAGGGCACCACCCTCTCCTTGACCTCAGTTCTCCCTTTCCAGCGTACATCCTAATGTAACAGGAACCTTTTATAGTTCCTCAAATATACTGGGTGATTTCCCAGCTTTTCACAATGGTTTCACAAATGCTAGGTCTTCTTCCTGCAGAGCATTTGCTGCGCCTTCCTCTGAGTATCCCCGCTCCCACTGCCCACCTCAGCCCTTTCTTCCCCCACCTGGCTTATGTGACTGGCTCCCTCTCATCCTTCAGTTGCAGCTGCAATGCTGCCTCTTTAGAGAGGATCTCCTGGACCACCGTATAGGAGATGGGTCTTGTCTCCTGTTTTCTATTACAGCCTCCTTCTTCCGCAAGATTGTGTTCTTACCACAATCTGCTAATCTTTTAAAATGTATTTATTCTCACTATGCAGCCACAAAAAGGAACAAGATCATGTCCTTTGCAGGGGCAAGGATGGAGCTGGAAGCCATTATCCTCAGAAAACTAATGCAGGAACAGAAAACCAAACACCCTATGTTCTCACTTACAAGTGGGAGCTGAACAATGCAAACACATAGACGCAGAGAGGGAAACTACAAACTGGAGCCAGTCTGGGTGGGGTGTGGGGGGAGGGAGACAATCAGTAAAAATAGCTAATGCATGATGGGCCTAATATTATATTTAGGTGATGGGTTGATAGGTGCAGCAAACCACCATGACACATGTTTACCTGTGTAACAAACCTGCACATCCTGCACATGTACCTCAAAACTGAAAATAAAATTTAAAAAAAATGTATTTATTTTCTTTATTATTTTATGTATCTCTCACTGCATTGTGAGTTCCTTGAGAACAGAGCCCTTGTGTCCTGTTCATTGCTATACTTCCAATGGTCAGCAGACTGCTGGGCAACGTGGGTGCTCAGTAGATATGTGATGAACGAGTGAATGTTCTTCCTCGCCTTGTACCTTGTTGGGTTTCCTCTCATCCTTCAAGGCCCATCCAGTGCATGAGCTGCTCCTCTGAGAAGACTTCCTGCCCCTTCCTCAACCAACATAGGTAGTCACTCTCCTTTGGGTCCACAAATTATCATCTACACACCACCATTATAGTATCAAATGCAATGATAAAGGTCTCTGCCCCACAAGACCATGAACTTCTTGAATACCCAGCCCTTCCCACTCTGCCCGTATACACAGCATCTAGTGTTCATCCCCTTTTTTTATTTTGCTGTAACTTTTAGGGGTACATGTGCAGGTTGGTTCCACAGATAAATTGCATGTTGCAGGAGTTTGGTTGCAGGATGTTATTTTATCACCCAGGTAATAAGCACAGTATCCAATAGGTACTTTTTCAATCCTCACCCTCCTCCCACCCTCCACCCTCAAGGAGTCACTGGTGTCTATTGTTCCCTTCTTTGTGTCTGTGTGTACTCAATGTTTAGTTCCCACTTATAAGTGAGAACTTGTGGTGTTTGGTATTCTGTTCCCGTGTTATTTTGCTGAGGATAAAGACCTCCAGCACCACCCATGTTGCTGCAAAGGACACGATCTCCTTTTTATGGTTGCATAGTATTCCACGGTGTATATGCACCACATTTTCTTCTAAATTTTATTTTAGGTATAGATGTGCATGTGCATTATAGGTAAACTCACGTCATGGAGCTTTGGTGTACAGATTATTTTGTCACACCTGTGTAGCAAGCATAGCACCGGATAGGCATTTTTTCTGGTCCTCTCCTTCCTCCCACCTTATACCCTCAAGTAGGCCCCAGTGTCTGTTGTTCCACTCTTTATGTCCATGTGTTCTTGTTATTTAGCTCCCACTTACAAGTGAGAACATGTGGTTTCTGGTTTTCTGTTTCTGCATTAGTTTGCTAAGGATAATGGTCTCTAGTTCCATCCATGTTGCTGCAAAGGACATGATTTCATTCTTTTTTTAATGGCTGCCTAGTAGTCCATGGTGTATCTGTACCACATTTTCTTTATCTAGTCTACCATTGATGGGCATTTAGGTTGTTCCTATCTTTACTATTGTGAATAGTCCTACTGTATCTAGCTTTATTAAAGATACTTTCCATAAACAATCATGGTATTTCAGGCAGGGCATGGGCAGACCATCGTTAACAGTTTACAACAACTTTCAAACTCCCTTCTTTGAGGGACTACCACAAATCAGAAAGCCACTATAAAACCCAAGGCAGTCTTCATCTGATGCTCTGAACAGGGAAAGTTTAGAGTGAGGGTTGACATTTTACATTTAGCATATTGTTTAACAACTTTTCACAAGCTGACCCTGACTTTCAGGAAGTGAAATGAAAACTGCAGAATTTATCTGAAGATCCACAATCTAGAAATGGAATCACTGCTCTTTTTCAGGTGCCATCTCAGTGGCATCACTGGCAAGTCCAGATTGCCTGACACACTGGTAACCAATGACTGGGGGTCAGGTCCCAACAGATGTCTGGGCTTAAGGGAGTTAAGTCTATGTTGAAAGACGGAAAGGGAGAAAAGGACACAAAAATGAATGTTTCTCCATACCACAAGGCTTTTGTGTGCCAAGGTAGCCATGTGTGTCAAAGTCAGGGAGCCAAGAGGAAGTCTCTCAAAACTAGAAGGAAAAGGTGTTTTCCCCACATCAGTCCAGCTTTGGAGACATTCTATTAGTCACATATGCTCCTTCCCCCAAAGTAACAATGGTGTGTTCTGTGTGCTAACAACATAGCTTAAAAAAAAAAAAAGTAAAACAAAATTCTGCATTTTTATAAAACTTGATAAAAAAATAGTATTTCAAACTGTACAGTCACCAGAAGTACACAGTTTTCAAAAATGCACACACTTCACTTGGCATCTCCGGCACCTTCAGCTTTCTGTGCACGGTCTGTTTTTCTGCAGGGTTATTCCCTTCCTTGCCAGCATCAGCTTTTCCCTTTTTCCCTTTGGGTACCTTCCCTACCTTCTTTGCAGGGGCCTTTTTAGGCTTGGGCTCTGGCTTTGGAGGAGCAGGTTAAGCAGACAACCTCGAAGATCTTCTCTGTGGCTCGTCCTTCACCTTGGCTTTATCTCCTTTAGCATCCCCTTCAGCCTTTCTCTTGGGCATGGTGGCGGTGGGACTTAGGCGCTGGGCACGGGATGCGGTGGTGCATGGGCTTTGGTCGGTCCGGGAGTCATTTTGCTCTTCTTCGCACTGTTCACAAGAATGTCTTTATGGTGGAATAATTTATGTTCCTTTGGGTATATATACAATAACAGGATTGCTGGGTCGAATGGTAATTCTATTTTTATTTAATAGTTCTTTGAGGAATGGCCACACTGCTTTTCACAATGGCTGAACTAATTTACACTCCCATCAGCAGTGTGTAAGCATTCCCTTCTCTCTGCAGTCTCACCAACATATATTTTTTTCTATTTTTAATTATAGCCATTCTGGTTGGTGTTAGACAGTATATCTCATTGCAGTTTTGATTTGCATTTGTCAAATGATTAGTGATGTAGAGCATTTTTCCATATGCTTGTTGGTCATGTATATGTCTTCTTTGAAAAAAATGTCTGTTAATGTCCTTCACCCTTATTAATGGGGTTATTTTTTGCTTATTAAGTGTTTTATAGATACCGGATATTAGAACTTTGCAGATGCATAGCTTGCAAATATTTTCTGACATTCTGTGGGCTGTTAAGTCTTTGATAGTTTCTCTTGCTGTGCAGAAGTTCTTAGTTTAATTAGGTTCCATTTGTCAATTTCTGTTTTTGTTGCAATTGTTTTGGCATCCTCATCATAAAATCTTTGCCAGGGCCTATGTCTAGAATGGTATTTCCTATGTTTTCTTCAAGAGTTTTTATAGTCTTAGGTTTTACATGTAAGCATTTCATCTGTCTTGAGTTTAATTTTTATATGGTGTAAGGAAGGTGTCTAGTCTCAATCTTCTGCACATGTCTAGCCAATTATCCCAGCACCATTTATTGAATAGGGAGTCCTGTCCCCATTGCTTGTTTTCATCAGCTTTGTCAAAGATCAGATGACTGTAGGTGTGTGGATTTATTTCTGGGCTCTCTTTTTTGTTCTATTTCTCTATGTGTCTGTATTCATACCAGTTCCATGTTGTTTTGGTTACTGGAGCCTTGTAGTATGGTTTGAAGTCAGGTAATGTGATGCCTCCAACTTTGTTCTTTTGCCTAAGGATTGTTTGGCTATCTGGGCTTTTGTTTGTTTCCATGTGAATTTTAGAATTTTTTTTCTAGTTGTGTGAAGAATGTTATTGATAGTTTGATAGGAACAGCATTTAATCTGTACATTGCTCTGGGTAGTATAGACACTTTGGCAATATTGATTCTTCCTATCCATGAGCATGGAATGCGTTCCATTTGTTTATGTCATCTCTGATTTCTTTTAGCAGTGTTTTGTAATTCTTGTTGGAGATGTCTTTCCACCACCCTGGTTAGCTGTATTCCTAGGTATTTTATCTTTTTGTGACTATTGTGAATCCAATTGCATTCTTGATTTGGCACTCAGCTTGGGAATTATTGGTGTATGAAAATGTGACTAATTTTTGTACTTTTTTTATCTTGAAATTTTGCTAAGTTAGTTATCAGATCTAGGAGCTTTTGGGCAGAGACTATGGCGTTTTCTAAGGATAAAGTCATATTGTTTGCAAACAGAGATCATTGGACTTTCTCCCTTCCGATTTGGAAGCCTTTTATTTCCTTCTCTTGCCTGATTATGCTGGCTGAGACTTCTAGTACTATATTGAATAGGAGTGGCGAGAGAGGGTATCCTTGTCTTGTTTTTGTTCTCAAGGGAAATGCTCCCAGCTTTTGCCCATTCAGTGTGATGTTGGCTGTGGGTTTGTAATAGTTGGCTCTTATTATTTTGAGGTATGTTCCTTCAATGCTTAATCTTCAGTTTGCTGAAGATTTTTAGCATGAAGCTATGCCCAATCTTATCAAAAGCCTTTTCGGTATCTATTATCTACAGTTTTTGCTTTTAGTTCTGTTTATGGGATGAATCACATTTATTAATTTGTGCATGTTGAACCAACCTTGCATCCCAGGGATAAAGCCTGCTTGATCATGGTGAATTAGGTTTTAGATGTGCAGCTGAATTTGGCTTGCTAGTATTTTGTTGAGGATATTTGCATAGATATTCATCAAGGATATTGGCTTGAAGTTTCCTTTTTTTGTTGTTGAGTCTTTGCCAGGTTTTGGTATCAGGATGATGCTGGCATTGTAGAATGAGTTAGAGCGAAGTCCCTCTCATCAATGTTTTGTGACAGTTCCAATAGGAATAGTACTGGCTCTTCTTTATATGTCTGGCAGAATTTGGCCGTGAATCAATCTGGTCCTGGGTTTTTACTTGTTGGTAGGATTTTTTATTACTTATTCAATTTAGGAACTCATAATTTCTCTGTTTAGAGTTTGATTTTTTTCCTGGTTCAGTTTTGGGAGGTTGTATAATTCTAATATCCTCTATTTCTAACATGATCCTACTCATGTTAAAGAAAGCCATCTACTTCTAATGACTTTATTTGTATCCGGAGCTGACTGGAGTTGGAAGTGAGGAAGAATAGCGAAGATGATGTGAAAACAGCTGCTAGCGTTTGTGGAATGTCTGAGCTATGTATTCATGGCTTGTAGATGTGCCCATAAAACTATCTTAGTATTTTATTTCTCTATGCTTACGTCTGCAGAAAAAAAACAAACTTCACCATCTAGTGGTAGAAACCTTGAACTGCAGACATACATTCACCATTCCCTTATTCTTTATCCCACTTAATAGCTGTTTATTGACCGATCACCCACTTAGTATGTGCCATGAATTGACCCAGACAAACCTCTGTTCTTCTTTAGTCCCTCATGTATTGATCACTTTCTATGGGTTGAGCATGTTGTTTGGAGCTTTGACGCTTGCAGTTTGGTGTTGACAGTTTTAGGTAAACAGACCCAAGGGAGGTCAGGTTTTTTTGGTGCAAAGGGCAAAACCTGGCGTCTCTGGGCCTCATACAACTTGCTGTTTTGGCCTGATTACTAACTATTAAAAATGTAAACAAGCTGGGGAGATTTAGAACTTAGAGGATTTCACAGATGCATGCGTACACACCCCACAAGGACTTGAGGATTCTCTGGGACAGTCACGAGATCTGGCTGCTGCTGCTGGCATTCTTACATTTTGGCAATTGGCTGGAGCTGAAGAACAGCTGCCCCTTGACACGGCTGCTCTGTCAGATCCACATTAGCTGTTCCGTCCACTCACTTATTTCAGTTTGATGTCTTTTTCGAGGCATCCAGACATTTGCTGGATTTTGATTCTCCACGTTTATTCCTAAGGAAACATATCGCCAAATCTCTCCAATCTTTCTGCCAATGAAGTCCAGTTTCCAGAAGAAGTAATGATAACTGCACAACTATCAAGGGATAATATACTTTAACCCTGAGATAGATTAAGGGCCATTTATTTGCCTGGGCTTCTGTTACTGTGAAAAATCATCTTTTTGCTCAATGTCCTACACTTGGTTACTTCCCCTTTCTCCTTGCTCGGTAAAACAGAAGGCTCTTTTAGAGATTTTGACTGTTTCTCCTTATTATTTATGCAAAAGATATTTAATGAGCACTTCCTAAGTGCTCGGACCTCTGCTTCATGCAGGACATGTATCTGAGAAGGGGACGGACATGGCCCTAACGGTGGTAGCAATGTGGCTGTTATGAAAGATGATGATGTCATGGGAACATACAGAAGGAACACTGTACCTAACACGGAAATGAAAATAGGATCAAGGGGATGTTCTTGGAGAAATTTAATGTTGAAGCTCCTAGACCTTGAGATCAGTAGTAATTTGCCAAGGAGGGAGAATCCTGCACAAATGCCCAGACCAGATTCAAGAGAGTTGTGGGGCATGGAAAGGAATGGAATAGTGTCCTTGAGTTCTGCTGAGGAGCACAGACTTTATCTGGAGAGTCAGGAGGAGCAAAGAGAGCTTATGAGCAAGGGACTGAATAGTTAGGTCTGTGTTTTTAGAACATCACTCCATCTCTTAAAACTTATTTTAAGGCCGGGCGTGGTGGCTCATGCCTGTAATCCCAGCACTCTGGGAGGCCAAGGTGGGAGAATCACGAGGTCAAGATATCGAGACCATTCTGGCCAACATGGTGAAATCCCGTCTCTACTAAAAATACAAAAAAATTAGCTGGGTGTGGTGGCACACGCCTGTAGTCCCAGCTACTTGGGAGGCTGAGGCAGGAGAATTGCTTGAACCCGGGAGGCAGAGGTTGCCAGTGAGCCGAGGTCGCGCCACTGCCCTCCAGCCTGGTGCCTGGTGACAGAATGAGATTCTGTCTCAAAACAAATAATAACTTATTTTAAGAGACTTGGTTGAGAGCTAGGGCTCTGGTTCCTTTAGACACTTTCTAGTTCCGTTTTATAAGGGACAAGTTTGTTGTGAAGGACTCCAGGAGAGGAATCTTCAACATCCACTCTGCTGGCTGTTGCCCCGCCCCTGGGGCCTCTCTTCTTTTGCCCTTTAGATTCTTATTTTTGCTCTGCTTTCCTTGTAAATATCTCTGTTTTCTCTGTCGTTCCCTCATCGCTTTCCACGTAATTCAAGCATCTTCCTGGAGCTGCTGAGGGTTTCTGGTTGCCTGGAGAACCACAGCAACAATGTCATGAACTCCCCCACCCATCCCAGGGAGCCCTTCGATCAAAAAGTCAGCTTCAAAGCCTAGTTGGAAGTAGTCAATGCAAAGCCAAAAGTCAACAAATATTTCTCCAGAGTCTTGGCACCAGAAGGTCTTTCTCCTGATCCTTTTGCTCAATTCCCAGCTGGTTAGCAGCTTGAACTTCTGCCTACCCATCCCCTTTCATGGCAGGTCCCAAATGTGCCGTAAGATTATTGAAGAGACTAGGAATAGAGACTTAATACTGAGAAGACACTTAAGCAATTGATCCTGTCCCCTATTTTATCAAGAATCCCTTCCCGCTTCCAGACTTCCTGACTTTTGAAATGAACTAGTATAGGTGCCTGACACTCCTGGTTCTGGTTTGAACACCTAAAGTCACTGGCTATGTGAACTTGGAAAACTTCTTTCACTTCTTTGGGCCCTGGTTTCCTTTTCTGCAGAGTGAGAATAATAATCCCTGCTCTGCCTACTTCACAGGGTTATTTTGAGAAAGAGAAAATGACTCTATAGTTGCATTCGATCATTTACAAAAACATATATTGATTACTCAGCCATGTGCCAGTTACCGGGGGATGAAAGCTCTTGTTAAACGGTAACATGTTATACAAATATCACATTCTCAGATGTAGAAGACTCATCACCAACTGAGTCAGACCCGGTGTGTTTGTCCTGCTTCCCTCACCTGTCCTGCCTCCAATTAGGTTCCTAGGTATTGCTCATGCATAACGTTCAAGGCAAAGCTTTAGCAAGAGCCATAATACATAAAAGTATTGACTAGCGTTAGAAAGAGCTATGGTGACAAGGCCTCTGTGTATTTGAAAGCTTCCTTAAGTCCTGCTGCAGAATGCCGTATGTGATAAGACGGTCCATCACAGTTTTCCTGTTTTTCCCGTATTGACAAGTAACACCTGAAACAATGAACAAAGAGGAGCTAGTGCTACGTTCTGAAGATTGCCAGCAATAGCTGGAGCCAGAACGCTGTTCCCCCAACAAATCCCCAGGGCTTCTTAAAAGTCAAAACTGGCCCTGCTACCATGAGACTTTCTGCTTTCTCCTCCCTCCTGCTTTCTAGGCTATGTAAGCAGAAGTCTAGGAAAGGAGGAAAGACAGGGAGAAGGAGTCACTACAGGAGTGAGACTGGATGGAGGAAAGTGTTCATGGAAGTATCCATAGGTTTTAGAGTCCCAATGGGAAACAGATGGGATCCTCAAATCAGAACAATTAAGAGAAGGTTTGCTTATAAGGAGGGGCCACAGAGGCTGATGCTGTCACCCAGGGGTAGTGGCAGCAGAGCTGTTTCTACTTCTAGGCCCAAAGGGATGAAAGGAGGGAATTGCATTAAGAACCAGAAGGAGAGAGCCATCTCCAGATCTTTTAGAATTTTTTTCCAGTGGTTAGGCAAGAAATAATGGTGGGCCTAATATAGAAGTGTCAGGAGAGTCAGAGAAAAAAGTGAAAATATGAGAGCTATTTTGAAAACAGACTTACCAAGACTTGCTGATGGAATGAATTAAGAAGAAAGAGAGAGAGGAGAAAAAGGTAACTTGAAGGTTTCAGGCTTGGGCAGCTGGGTTTTGCTTGGGAACATGATAGGTGGGTGGGTTTGGGCTGGAGGATCCACACTCAGTTTTGGACCTGCCAGGTTGAGATGAAAACATCTAGGTGGAGGTGTCTAGCATTCTGTTGGATATGACATCTGAGGTCTCAGAAAAGAGACCTCAGCTGGGGATGCTGAGCTGTATGTGAACAATAATAATTACATGTGTTAAAGGCTGTCACGTAAGATGTCCAAGATGCTGAAAATCTGATGCTTAGTGAGTGAAGAAACCAGCTCTTGGCATTTTGAAAGCTCTTTCACCAGCTAGAATGACGATCATTAAAAAATCAGGAGACAACAGATTTTGGAGAGGATGTGGAGAAATAGGAAAGCTTTTACACTGTTGGTGGGAGTATAAATTAGTTCAATCATTGTGGAAGACAGTGTGGTGATTCTTCAAGGATCTAGAAGTAGAAATACCATTTGGCCCAGAAATCCCATTACTGGTTATATACCCGAAGGATTATAAATCATTCTACTATAAAGACACATGCACATGTATGTTTATTGTGGCACTGTTCACAATAGCAAAGACTTGGAACCAACCCAAATGCCTATCAATGATAGACTGGATAAAGAAAAGGTGGCACATATACACCATGGAATACTATGCAGCCATAAAAAGGAATTAATTCATGTCCTTTGTAGGGACATGTATGAAGCTCGAAACTGTCATCCTCAGCAAACTGACAGAAAAACAGAAAACCAAACACCGCATATTCTCAGTCGTAAGTGGGTGTTGAACAGTGAAAACACAAACACAGGGAAGGGAACATCACACACTGGGGTCTGGGGGGTGGAGGGCTAGGGGAGGAATAGCAGGGGGTGGGGGAATTGGGGAGGGATAGCATTAGGAGAAATAGTTAACATAGATGATGGGTCAATGGATGCAGCAAACCACCACCATGGCACATGTATACCTATGTACCAAACCTGCACGATCTGTACATGTACCCCAGAACTTAAAGTATAAAAAAATTTTTTTTTTAAAAAAAAAGAGAAAAATTGTCTTTGCTGCCTTGGAATTATGGCCACTCCTAAAAGAGATAATACCATTATGCTCTCTTATGCTAATTACTATCCACAAAATAGCTGTTTTGCAGTAGAGGGAATTGAGGTTCAGAGATGTGTACTAGCTAGGATTATTATCTTTGCAAGTGACCAAAAGTGCTGTTTAAACCAGTTTAAATGAGCAAAGCAATTCATTGGCTTAGATCCAGAGGTGGCTTGTGGTTTGGGGCACAGTTTGATCTAGAAGTTCACAAAATGTCATTGAGACACAGCGTGTCTACTTTTATATTCACCCTGCTTTTCTACATTTATGTATTGACTTTACTTCAAGGCTGGCTGTTTCATGACAGCAAGATGGTTACAGAAACTCCAAGCCTCACATGCTCATGACCTCGAATCTATTGAACAGATAACCTTTCTCCCCAGAAGTCCTATTATAGGTTTCAAGTCTTTTCATTGGCTCTAACTGGGTCCTGTTCTCAGCCCTGGCCCATCACTGTGGCCAGAGGGATGGGATCTGCCAACTGGGGAAAGGGTCAGTCCCACCCAAACATTATGATTTCATAATAAAGGAGGGGTGTATCCACAAGCAAAACACGGGGCTTAGCTCAGGTGAAGGAAAAATAAAATCCAGTGATCCAGGAAGAAAAGGATCTGTTTGAAGTCACCTAGTTTGTTAGTAACAGGCCAAAGCTAGATCTCAGGAGTTCACCCCATTTACTTTCTTCCACACTCTATTGCCACTTGTTTGCTTTGTTTCCATCAGTGTTCCCAGAGACTTTAGGTGGTCAGAGGCCAGGAATGGGTTAACAGCAAGAAGAGTAGTGATAAAAAACATCCAAGAGATCCCAGGTCATTCAGGATCTTTCTCTGGCCCAGGGTCACCAGTTGGCCCAAGTTGAACTAGGGAATGATAGCGGAAAGGCACTGCCCTAGGTGGTGGGCAGGAGGACTGGTGGTGGGCAGGAGGACAGGAGAGCTGGAGAAGCTGCTGGAGACCCTGCCCCAGCCCGCACTCTCCTGGCCTGGCAAAAGTCAGACCTCAACAGCCAGGGGACTTAGAAGACCTGCAAAGGGAACCCACCCACAGAGGTTTCTAAAAGCATCCAGTTCATTATTCACTGCCAGGTTGTTCCATGTGACTTTGTCATTTTTTTCCTGCCTTCTCTGTCACAAAGTTTTTTTGGTTTTGGTTATTTTTAGCCCAGTGCTGGCCCTTGGGGACTATCAAATCCAACTTTCTTGTTTCACAAAAGAGAGAAATGAGACTCCGTGTTTGAAAACGAGTTGATTAACTTCACACACTTCCTGTCAGAGCCATCCTCCCACCCATGTCTCCCGACTTCCAGCCCAGGGATGCCGCTGTACCTGGTTGCCTCCACCTATCTCTTAATAATCTCAGTAAAGTGCCTGACTGGCCTCCGCCTTGTTAAAGATCAAATGGTCTCCCAGGACTCCCACGTGCAAATAATTTTTACCTTAGAAATACAGTGGGTTCCCAAAGAAGATTTGCAAGTCAGTCTTTGGAAACTCAGAAACACAATTTCCCTAGGAAGATGGGTTTATGTGTTTATGGGTTCTAGTCTCACTTGCAAATCCCATAGAACCTGAGATAATACATGCCAACGTGAAAATCAGTAACACATGACTATTAATTCTTGTGTCTCCTCTTAAGGATTGAGGACGGAACCACACTTTGCACTTCTCTATAGAAAGGCTTTAGGGACCTCCGTGGGATATTTATTCTTTGGGAATTAGCTTGCAATCAGTCTGAGACCCACTTATTTTCTTCGTTCTTTGAAGGATGGCTTCACTTTTCCTCAGGACTGGCTTCAACAGCTCATGATTTGTGTTACACAGGGACCCACACTCAGAAGGCCCTGCATGTGGTTTAATGCTCTGCTGTGGCCATCTTGAAATCCTGAATAATTTTTTTTTTGAACGTGTGTTCTATACGTAAAATCCAATGAGGCAATGGAGCAT